CCAGGACAGCTGAAGGAGCCATTTCTAAAAGAGCAGAGTTTTGCAGGAGATAATTGCAATGTTTTGAAGAATCTGTACACAAAGCCTTGATAATATACGCCTGTTTTCATGGGCAAACAGCTATCAGGAGTCATTCAACTTCCACAAATATCTAGTAATGTGTAGTGAGATCACAGGCAAGACTTGTCAATATGGAGGACTTGGATTATGGGTTTGAGTGGGTTTTTATAAGGGGGAGAAGTATTAATCATGTGAGTCTGAAGCCTGCATACATAGTTATTACCTTGTTGAGAAATAGATCAGCTGGCTGGATAATTGAAGTTTTAGTCTTAAAATACCTAGGGTTGGAAAATACTGGTAATTGATGGCAAGAATGATTGTGCAGGAACCACAGGCACCAGCATTGTCATGTCATGAGACTCATCTAAGTAAGCAACTTTATTCTGATCTCAAGGATGGAAGCATCACATGCTAACATACAGGTTCCACATACTCATTGTTTTTCTTAAATACTTTCAACATTTTAGTTGAGTATTTACAGAGTTACTTATTTGAAAGTCTCCAACAAGTAGTTCAGTTTATCCTGGTTTTTCTCAATGAAAGTTGGCCTAGATTTAGCTGATGTGTCTTTGATGTCCTTTATTATTATGATTCCTTTTCATGAGAATTTCAGATATATAGCTTTTTCTCAGTGATAAGCTTCAAGCATTGGTTCTGTAAGAAATGTTTTTTGTCGGCATGACAAAACATAGGGACTGGGTTCATAAAACTAATTGGAAAAATGCAATTGCTGGTAGATGGATGTTCTTACTATCTTTTGCAGTGCCATTTCTAGCTGGTAGGAAATACTAATTTTTCAGTTTAGTCACCATTTACAAGGTGATTTCCCCCCCCCCCCAGTGAAACCACTTAAGCTTGTTTTTTTGTTTCTTGATGGGCTGAACTTCATAGCAGGTATCTTTTATATAATTTGAATTTAACATTTTCTGCCTTATGGGTGATGTTTTATATTCTTAAACATATCATTCAGGTCTGTAGAACTGTAGAACAGACTGTTGAAAATGTGGGTGTTTTTATGAGAAGAGAATGAGTTTATTTAAGCTTCATCTGCCACTAGGAAGAAGTGTTGGTTTGTGTGTACACAAAGAAGTACTGAGAGAAAATGTAATTCCCGTTCAAAAATGGACTTCTGTTCTAGTGAACATATTCATCCAAAATGTTTGTATCTGTGGTTACTAGTCTGAAGGCTCTAGAGCAGGGCTGTCCAATCTTAGCCAACTATAAGACTTGTGGACTTCAACTCCCAGAATTCCCCAGACAGCCATGGTGGCTCAGGAATTCTGGGAGTTAAAGTCCACAAGTCTTAAGTTGCCAAATTTGGAGAGTCCTGCTGGAGACTGAGCTTCTACCTAATGGAGTGTTAATGAGAGATGCAGGTTTCCTTGATTTACTCATGGGTTAAATTTATCACTGTAATAAAGGAAAATGTTTTTTTGAATCAACGGCCAGCACAGACAATAAATCGTTAACCTGATGATCCTTTTGAGCTAGGAGTCATTCCAACATTTCCAAAATCCTGTTGATTGTTCCTGCTGCTCAGAGCAGTCATTCTTTACACATCAGTTCTCAAAACACATTCTCAAAGCAACCTCTCTGGTTATCCTTTTGGTGACAGCTTTTAATCTGTGAAGGCCAATGTCTCTGAGGCTTCTGAAAGGAGCATTGCTCTAAACGAAGGGCAGCTCCACTTCGAATCTTAGTTTGGAATTAATTTTGGGGCAGTGGAATTGTTTCAAATGGCTGTCTTTTCCCCCCCACCTCAGAATAGCATTCCTTTCGAACACCATGGCAAGTAGCTGCTCGTCTTCTCGTTGGAAAGCAGCACTGGGTGAGTCCCTTCTCGCTAGACTCCAGCTTGGTGGGTGGGTCTGGATGAACTCCTTTGGGGCATTCAAATGGGGTGGCTTTTCATTTTAATTCTGCACTTTTGTTTCCCTCTGCCTTGCAGATGACATAGCATTAGATGTGCTTTTCCCAAAAGCTTTTAGCGTTTCACTAGTTCTTTTTTTCCTCAGAGCTTTAGTACTTTACTAGAATGGTTTGTTAGAACATCCGTAAGTGAAACCAGTATTACTAAGTAAAGTGGAAGAATTTGGGATAACCCCATAGGGATGACTCCAGTTGCTACATTGCTTAGCAGTAAGTCTGCTTTTTAGCAAGTGTGCAAACTGAGTAGCCCATTTGAGAAAAACAAAACACCTTAAAGAGAGCATCAAAATATTATTACATATTTGCTATGCACATTTTTAATATTTAGTCGATTCATGTGGCTGCCCAACTTAGATTGTGACTGCCGATAATTTAGACTATATTCATTTAAATTAAATTATTCCAATATATAGGAATATCTGGGGGAATTTTAAAAAATCAAGTTGGCGGATGTTGCCATACAATTGAAGCCCTGCCTCCTGTTTAATATGCAACACATGGACATTAAAGGGGGCAGGGCTTTAGTTGTAGTGAAAACTAAGACTGGGAACATCTTCACTGCCTAATTTAAGCAGAATTATCTTGTAGGATGAACAAAAGATTAATGTGGCCTCTTTGTTTTTCTCCCTTTCCCACAAGCAGCCAAGATTAAAAAAACATTTTCAAAACTGATAAGTAGCTGGAAACTGCCTCTGGACTTGTTACAACAGACACTTAAATGTTTGTATTGGTATTGAATGAATCAGTGATAGCGAAAGCTTATCATTTGTTATGTCCTTTTGTCTTGATAGTAGGTAGTTTTCCCCAAAACAAAATGAAGTGTGTATGGGCAATATGTAGCATGCTGCCATTTTTAAATATTCCCAAAACTGTTTCTTTTGCTGTTTTATCCAACCTGAGATGCTTAGATTTTGCTAACAGCCGTGCTGTCTTTCCTGACCATTCATTTTATTGTTTGGGTTATGCTTTGCCTCTCTGCCCAAAGGACATTTGGTTAAGCTTCATAATATGCTAATTTCTATTATTAATGTTGAATCATTCTTGTTCCTCTTCTCATTACTGCTTTTGTATATTTGACTCCCAAAGCCTTTGCAAGTTATTATCCACTTGGATTTGCAAGTTATTATCCACTTGGATTTGATCAACTGGATAATCCAACTGTTGAGAATTGTAAGGAAGGTTTCTCTTCCAAATTAACCTTGATTGTAAAGATACATTATGCTAAAGAGGTGCTTGCTTGCATTTTCCTGCAAAGAAAACATGTCATGTTTCTCCTCCTCCCCAGTTTGGCAGGAAGAAAGTTGAAATGACAATAGGGAAGATGTAATAGCCAAACTCTTTACAAATTACAGTAAGGCTTAATTGCCTATTTTTATGTACAATTTATGTTGGAAAACCTCAAGTGTTTAGACTAGGCATGTCAAACTGCCGGCCCATGGGCCGGATGCGTCACCCCAAAACTGCGCCCACCCCATTGCCGGCAATGGGGAAAAAGTCGCAATACATTGTGTGACGTCACGTGACGTTGTGAGTTTGACATGCTTGGTTTAGATCAGGGGTGTCAAACTGCCAGCCCTCGGGCCAGACACGTCACCAGGAAACTGCGCCCACCCCATTGTCAGCAATGGGGGAAAAGCTCCGATATGTCGCACGACGTCACATGACGTTGCAAGTTTGACATGTCTAGTTTAGACAGAAAAACTGAAGATTCCAGTCTACTATCAAGTTCCTGATTTATATTTTAAAAAAAAAACTTCTTGTTACATAACAAGACATTAATGTTGCGGCAATTTGACAGTGTTTCTACAAAACTGCATTCAAGGATGATCTTAATTCAAAACAACACAAAGAAGTTACTTGTCATTTAAAATATGCATGAATCTAAACTAGCATAACTTTGGCTGTTGGAATACTGGTGCATTATAGAGTTCGGACTTGCATTAGCAAGGACATGGACTAGGTAAGGATGGGTACCTGGAAACACCTTTCTTCCTGCTCTCAATCATGTGCAAACTGCTCTCTAGAGATTGGCAGTGTTTTGGTAATCTAACTACTAAAGCTTTATTGTATAATTCTGAATAGGAGGATTTGCTTCCCACTCATAGCCAATACCTTTTTAAAAAGTGTTGCTTCTTGCACATCTTAATCCTGTTAGGGGAGCAAAGCTTGGTTTAATGCACACAAAGCAAACCCATTGCTTTTATCCTGATTTGGGGAAAAAAATGGATTTTTAGTAATTTTGTAGATTATACTTATTTATTAAATTTATATAGCACCCCTCTAATCTAGAGGCGACTCTAGGAGGCTTACAAACAGACTTGGTAGCAGATTGCCTATATGTTGAATAGATTTAGAATAAAATGTAACCTTATTACAAAAGAAAGCAATACTGACAGTATTAATAGTTTCCGCTAGGAATATTTTAAACCTTGACCGGTTTTTCAAAGCGTTTAGGTTTAGGATCTTTTTAATTTATTTCATTTCCACCATCTTAACTGGAATTGAAATGCTATCAAATTTCTGATGGCAGAGCTCACAGGGTTTGCTTGACGTTGCATCTTTGATGGGAACATTGTTATAAGTAATGCATATTTGTGTGTGTATACGCACACACACACACACATTTACAGTGCATTTGTCACCTTGCTCCTTGCTTTGGGTTTCATTGCTATTTTAAGAGCTCACCTGAGTTATCTAATCTGTTTTCTCTTTAACTAGCATGGGCTTTTCTTCACCATTCTGCATATATTTCTCCCTGCTCACAAGAAGCTTTTTTATACCATTCCTTTAATACACAAGGAACATGTCATTCTGTCATTCCCTTCATGGGCATTACAGGTGGGTGTATCATTGACTCAGTTGGCACATAAATCTCTGTACTGGCTTTTCATCCTTCTGAAGTAGACGTTGCTGTTCAGTTGTATACATGGAAAATGGTGCGTGAGTCCAGGTTTTATGCAGTCTCAGTAGGTGTGAGCTGATATTGATACCCTGTTCCTTGGCTTCAATAGATTCCTGCTCTGGCGACGACCAGCGTACTCCAATCTGCTGTGCATCGGTGAAATAATGTTGCCATTGAGGGGCAGATAATGCATGGCTGATCTCCTATGTTATCAATGGCTTTTACTAGCAAACTATCCCAAACTAGAGCAGAAGAAATATTCCAGTTGGAACTCTCCTTGCCACTGTCTAAAGATACTCACAGGAACATGGACAGAATCCAGCAGCTGCCACACTACAAGAGGCTTTAGCCCGAAACCCAATAACCTTATATGAACTCTAGCAACAGGGCTAGAAAAGGAAGCGATGGTATACAGCATTGCCAGCCTGTTATTTAATAGCCATTTTAGTTGTCCCTCAGCAGGCGGCGGTCTTCACCCCCCCCCCTTTTTATTGTTCTACTGTAATTATAAATCTTTTACTTGGTTTAAGAAAGTTTTGTATTCATTTTGCTAAGATTATTGGCTGAACTTCTCTATTAAAAAAAAAAAGTCTTGTCTCATTCAAACCCTGTGTGGAAATGTGAAAATTCTGAAGCTTGGTTTTAAAACAAACAAACAAACAAACTCAAGACTTGAAACTTCTTGTAAGCTTAAGTGAGACGGGGAATGTCTAACTGAATTAGAGGTGTTTCCTTTTATTTTACACTATTTACTTTTGTATGGTCCCGTTCGACAGGACAAGGGGGATTCTCAAGGGTTTTTAATTTTTAGTTTGACTTATGGCTGTCTTGTTCTTCCCGCGTTGTCGGGGGGTTTTTTTTTTGTTTTTGTTTTTAGAATTTAAACCTCCATGTACCACCCACACTTTTTTTAAAAAAAATGTTGATTTGTCTCTCATATTGTCAAGAAAGAGCGGGAGATCTTTTGGAAGAAAAAGCTGTACCGAGTAGAGGTAAAAAAATAACGCTTCATAGATTTTGAAGGACAAAAAGTGCGAAAATAATCTTTCAGGAAGTTTTTAATGTTGGACGTAGAATGTATTACCTTTATCCATAATAGAAAAGGGTTTGGAGAGGGGCAGGGTACCTTGTTTCTGCTGGGTTGTTCCTACAGATGCCAATTAAGCACTGCCACTGCCGTCGGAGCAGTGCGGTCGTGGGCGGGCCTCTTGAGCGCACAGAGGCAGGAAGTGCTGCCAGCCCAGCTGCATTCCGCCAAGGCTCGGGAGTTATAAGCAATCTGTTCCTTCTGCAAGATGTCAAAGAGAGCATTCAAGCTTGTTGAATTCTTTCATTCTTTATTAAAATGTGCAAGCCTGGAACAGCTGGCCTTCAGCTGAAGATATATTTATATAGTGGCCAAAACACTTAGTGTGCCAGCTAATATACATGAAGAATCTTCGTTTTCATGAGCAATATATTTATCCCTTAGTAATCTGGGAAAGTAGAAGGCATGTGAGTCATACCAAATACCACTCAAAGCACCATCAGTCCCACTTCGGGGATGAAAATGCAATATGTAGGTGTGTTGTTACTACTTTTTAATAAATGTGAGATTCTTGCCTCCTTGAAAACTTGGTGGCGAGTCTAACTCCATAAGATTTTATTTTCCTGTTACTTTGCAAGCATTTTGTTTCAAAGCTTTGTCAGGTCATCTTTTGTTTCCTCTCTTTTTTCACTTCTGTGGATTTTGAACTATGAACAATCTTGTTACTTTTCTTTAGCTACTTTAGAACATTAATCTATTGCTTATTTGTATGTCCAGTCTGATTTGATGCAACCTATGATTGGGGGAGTGCAATGGGAATGTGTTTTAATGTTGGTCCATGGAAAATTTTGAATAATTGTATCACTGGTTGCTGTAGATGTTGGTTCTTTGCGCATGTGCACTTCCATTTGTACAGTTCTACACTTCAGTGTGCTTTTTGTAAATATTTGTTGTCAATGATGTAATGTTAGAGACTTTAAAAGGCAGCCTCTTCTTTCTATATATCTGGAACCTTCAATTGCTGTATTATACTTAAAAAGTTGACTGCAAACTTCTCAAATTGTTCTTGATTGTGGGCAGTCTCTGCCCTTCCATTATACTTAAATCTCACCATCACCTGCTGAAAATATAGTTAGAATGTCTCTATAAACCTGTGTATTGGTAACAATATCTCAGAACACCTCATTTGTATTACCACTGTATTTGTGTACTTTAATAACTATGTAAATAAATTCATAAGGACTTCTAATTTTTTTAATGTGTGGGCCTGTTTGCTTGCATGTGCCATCGGTGTTCGGCATATTAAAGCTTGTGTGTGTGTGTGTGTGTGTGTGT